AGAAATGAAAGGAAGAAAATTAACAAATTTTCACCCCACCTTCCATCCCCTGCTGTTTGTAGTGGCCTTAAGGTCCCCATGTTTTTAGGGCCACTGTAATATCACTTTAGCCTCTAAGCCTCAGGCTGTAAGAATACCTCAGTCTGCTATCACTTTTTCTCTGCTCACCAGTGTTTTTTTTTCTTTGTCCTTCTGAACCCAATTAAGATGATCATCTCATTTCTTACAGCTCCATGTGATACATTCATTCTAATGTGAATACTTCATCAGTCTAGAATACAGATGAAGGAAACATGCTGTGCTTAATTTGGGGGGGCAAGAAATGATTCTGGAGACCATAGAAAAAAAAACTATAACTTTAATTTCAAAGTGTTTACTTCAGTCAAAACAGCTAAAATTCAGCTAGAATTTGTGTATTTCTAGTTTTACTATACTGCTACACTGCATTCCGCTTTGGCTTGAACCCCACAAGACAGCATAATTTAACTGAATGAATTAGATGTGAAATTAATTCACTATTTAAAAAAGGTCCACACTAGAGCCACAGGAACTCACTGGGCCAGGTTTCTATAGCTTTAAGTGGAATAGAGTGCATGTGACTCCCCCTTGGATGGGATGCTGGTCTATCCCAAGTATTGCTTCTCATCGATGTTGGTCCACAATTACTGTAGGTAACTTAAGCTATAGCTTAAGTAGCATACAGTACCTCACTAAAAGGATGCAATGGGATTAATAATTGGTCAATTTTGAGTCCAATGCTGCCCTTTACTTGGTTAACAAAATAAAATAAAAGATACAATCACTGGGTGACTTCTAAAACTGTGCAGATTAATACTTATTTAAGATTCATACAGAAAAATAATATTATACTATACAATGCTAGCTACAATGTTCCTGACAGTAAGCTGTATATACACTGAAATATTTATTTGTGTATCTGCTCGTGCCACTGTTTTCAGTTTGTTGTCTGAATTGAGACAAAACCCATGAAATTTTGCTTTGTCAAAACATATGCTTTCTAATCAGGGACTCATGGACAGCAGGCTACCAGGAGCCACAGAGAAATAATTTATTTAGAATTATCATTCAAATCCAGCCACTTTGTCTTGGGTGACTAATGGATAAATCTAACAATTTAGTAACTAAGCCATTACATTTACCAATCAAATCTAAGTGACTCAATGCCAGACGATTTTGGCATAGTTTGATCCTCTACAATAAACATCAATAAATCTAAATGTATACGTTTTGTACTAAAACGTACAGATCAGGATTAATTGTAAGCTGAAGACAACTGGCTGGAAAATTTTTGAGATAATTATAAAATTGCCTTTCCATAAAGCTGGAATAACATTGAATGTAAAAAGTAGACAAACATGAAATGTACAAAATTTCTGAATGATCTTGGCAAATAAAAAGATGTTAGATACCAGTACCTGGTTTAACAAATGATTCATGGATTAGTTTTCCTTCATTGTGGATGAATATTTCTGGTATCACACCTAGGCCAGTGCAATTCATTAATTAGAAGATTTTTTGTTGTTGTTGTAATACAATAATCAGGAATAAAAAAAAAATATTAAGCCTCAAGGCTCAGAGCTTCATAAACATACAACTAATTTTAGTAATGTGGGTGGAATAATTAATGTGCAACTGCAGTCTAATTACATTGTTTGTGGACTCTTCCTTGTGATACATCCAGCAAACAGTTTAGATTTTAAATGTTTTAGAACATCAATCTGGTTTTCAGAATTATGGGACAATATCTCATATCTAAGATAAATAATCTTCCTTTAAATTTGTATATCTAAATTATTAAAAGGGATGTAATTAATAATAAAAAATATTAAATGAGTAGTCTTGTTTACTGATAATGCTCTGCCTCAAGGTCAGTTAATGAGAGAAAATTAATCTCTCTAAGCAGTTCCACTAAAGCTAATATTATTTTATGAAGAATAAATGCATTTCAATGGACTAGAATATTTAAAACTACGGTATGTAAAATATAACCAAATTTCAAAGTAAACCCTGGGTTAAAATAAAATAAGATTGTGTGGTGTTGAGACACACAAGAATCTTTATGCTCAGTAAATCTCACAGTCCCTCTGTTCACTGGCTAACTCGATTTCTCAGTATGCTTAAATGGCATGATTTTAAACATGTTTTTAAAACATTATACCTTATTCCCCCAAACACAATTAGCAAATATTTATATTATATTTATATTTTATATTGGCATCCATCTTGATCACCAAATCTGTCCTGAAAAATTGAAATTAGTTCTTGTAAATCTTCATCCCTTCTGGCCCTTGTGTGCTCTTCTCTTTCCCTGTTTATTTCTCAGTTCACCCAGTGAATTGCAAGGCAACACACCCTTCATATTTGGAAACCACTTCGGGAAGCAGTTTGGCTTTATGTCACTCTCCTTGTATCCCCCTACTAATCTTTTGTTCCCCCCTTCATTCAATAACCAGATATTCCTTAATTAATATTACAATTAAAATCTCCCCCAAACTCAATTTTTTTTACATTAATAAGTAGACTCTTTATATATATTTTGCCTTGTTCTCCTCGTCTGCCCCCCCCCCCAAACTGACATAGATTACCTTATCATTATCATTGTTTCTTTCATTACATTATCCATTCTTTTCCATAGATGAAACTTTGTGGGAACAAGAGTTAATCAAGAGGACCAGTGGGAGTCTCTTTTAGCCTGGGTTCACTCTTCCTCCATCTGTGACAAGGATGGTCTCACAAAATTTAAAACCACCGCTTACATATATCTAAATCTAAGCTTGATAAACTTTTTCCTTATTTGGACCCAACATGTGACAGATGTGGGCAGGATCCTCCCACTCTCGTGCATACTATATATATATTGGTCTTGTCCTAATTCCACAGGCAGAAAAGGGATCAACTGATTGGCCCTGAGCTTAACTGGGACTTTCCCCAGAAGTAGCTGCAGTCACTATAACAGCATTCAGACACAGAGGGTAGAGGGATGTGCCTGTTCAGGGAGAGAGGATGGTAGATACTGTAGTGCTTTAGGGACAAGGGAAAGGCTTATGGCCTGATTTCTTCTGGGTGGTTTCTTACATGGTTGTCTAAGTTTTGTTTAGTTAAAGGTGATCCACTGAAAGTCTTGGATGATGATGGCATTTAAACCTGTGCTTAGAGAATACCTGTTTCATTATATGAAGACAGAAATGGTTATGGTGGTTTAAAGCATATTCCTTCTTTAATTGTGGTGTAACAGAAATAATAAGGTTCTGGATCCCTAGATGAAGTTAAACAGAAGAGTTTATTGCATGCAAGGAAAAATAAAGCCGAAGTCTTGTTTCCCGCAAAAAAAAACAACAAAACCAAATATTGTTCAAAGGGCTGGTACAAACTTTAGGTTTATATATGCTTTCCTTGCCGCTTCTGATTTCACTCGTTATTATAGTAAAGGGGGGAGGTCACGTGTTTGGCCAGTTTACAGCTTTTTGGCCAAATGGCCAGGGGTTTCCTAGCTCTCCTAGCTCACATCTGGAATCCTTATTAGTTCTCCCTTTCTTGCCATAAACCCCTGTTGCTTAGAAGTCTAATCTTCAAGCAGAAAGGACTTAATTTAACCCCCATCTTTACTTTTACTTCAATTGTATTCTGTGAAAATCAGGACTTGGTGTTTTACCTAGGGTTGCCAAAGCTGAGCAGAACTGTAGAGAGTTGGGTCATTTTGTGGAAGCCTACACAAAGGTTGTATGTGGAAAATGTAGGGAAATTGGACATACATATGCAGAATGCACAAATGTAAGGAAATGTAATCTGTGTGGGAGTGAAGATCATTTGTTTAGTGACACCAAATTCCTTTGCAAACAAAGCAAAACAGGAAAGGCCATTAGAAAGACAGGAAATGTTTGAGTAGGCATTGAGAGCTGAAATAGTTGTTATGGAACAGAATAAAGAACAGGAATTAGTGGTGGGTGATGATGGAAAGAGCAGCAAGAACGGAGAGGATGTGGAGAGTTCAGGAAGTACTGAGAGGGCAGAGTATGTAGAGGAAAAGGAGGATAGTGCTCTGGAAAGCTAAGTGGAATTGGATTTGATTGGCAGTATTTCTCCTGATAGTCAGACATCTTTGGTGACTGACAGTGTTCAAATTTAGGATTTGAGGGAATACTTACTGGGGAGCGAACCACTGTTTTAGCAGGGGATTTTAATTTTTTTTCTAGAGAAAGATGGTAGAATGAGTGTAGGGAAGCACAACAAATCTGATAAGTCATTAATCTTATTGCAGACATTATGTAAGGAATTTAATTTAAAATATATTTTTAAGATTCAGAGTAAAGGTGGAGTATGTTTTACATGGCACAAGGCTGATGGGCCCCAAGCCTCATGCATAGATTTTGTTTTTATATGCGATTTTACCAGCACATCTACAGTGTTAACCCATCTTTTTCTCTGACCATTGTTTACAATCATGTACGTTTTAGATGCCAGCAGCTGTTACTGTGGGGGAGGATGTGTGGAAGCTGAATATTTCTTAAGAATTTGAGTATTTAGATTGGCTGCCAGACAGGGGGTGTGATTTTATTGTTTAAAAAGAATGATCTTTTTAAACAATAAATAGACATGGCTACCATAGATAGACATGGAGACCCATAACTCTCTTGATTTATGATTTTAAATTGTTTTGTAAGTGTCTAACACTTAAATTGAAATTTGTTTTGGGGGAGGTCATTCATCCAGATCAAGTTTGTGGTGTGGCACGGAGGAAGACAACGGACAGTCTGACACTGATCAGTGATACCATTTGTTTTGCAAGAGATAGGCATATTAGGCTAGCTGTTCTAAATTTGGATTTAAAAAAGGTTTATTATTGTGTTTCACAAGAGTACTCCAAATGATATGGCTTTCATCCAGGTTTCTTGCTTGCATAAGGTTATACTATAAAGGTGTAGTTCACAGACTAAGGATAATGGTTAACAGATTTATGTCACAAGCAGTAAATGTGAACTGTGAGGTCCATCAGGGCTGTCTTCTTTTGTCCTTTTTGTTTGTTGTATAGAACCACTGGCACAGTCCTTGAGAATGGAGGCTGGGATTGATGGGATTAAGATTCCTTGGAATGGGGGCTTAGAGGTGAGAACTGTACTGTACATGGATGATGTAAATGGTTTCTGTACAGATTGGATGGGGATTAAGAAACAAATCTGTACTGCAGACCATCAGGGGCTAAGATGAACAATAATAAATTTGAGTTAATGCAATTCAGAACCTGATATGAAAAGGAAGATTTGGGAGTTACAGTTTGTAGAGATGAAATCAAGATTCTGGGAGTAATATTGGACAGTAATGGGATGGGGAACAGGAATTGGGAGGGGGTGGTGGGGAAGGTCAAAAGGAATATTGGACTGTGGAGTTTATGACAATTGACTATGGAGGGTAAGGTTTTGGTAGTTAAAGCTGTAATTGTACCCTTACTATTGTTTATTGGTATTGTCATTATGCCATCAAGATCTGTTTTATTGGTTATGTTTTTATTTCTTGGAGGTCAAAGTGGGAAAGGTTGATGGGGGAGGTTGTGGCAAAGAAGGTGGAGATGTGTGGGAAAGGGATGCCTGAGTTGTTTACTTTACTAATGTACAAGTATGTTTCAGTGCATCTGTCTTTAGCTGTGGGAAATAGGGGGAAGGTATCCTTCATGTCTCGTTTTCTGTGTGGTTTTTATTTGAAGACTTTAAAAGGTTTAGAGATTCCTTTAATGGTACCTGTTGCTTTTAACCCCCTGTATTCACGTACCATAATAAAGACCTTTCTGAATAAATGGATTTTGTAAAATGTGACAGTGGATGTGTTGACACATGCAAGGAGATCTAAACATGTTGTGCAGGATAGGGAGCAAGTGTGTCTAATTCATAGCCTTGTAGCTGGGGACAGCAACTTAGATGGTTTTCCTGATCTGTTGAACAGACACTACGATATGTACTGGCTGATTGTGCATGGGGTTCTGCCAACAAGGACTGTGATGCACTCCAGGAGCACAGGGAAGACATCAAAGTGTCCAGTGGATGGATGTGAGCAAGAAGAAACCATCCATCATGTGCTTTGGGAGTGTGGTGCTGCAAAAGAGGTATGAACAATGGCAGAGAGCTGGATAAGGTGTTTCCTGGACTGTGGCATAACTGACCCCCAGGACGTACTCTATGGACATGGGTGGAGAAGCTAACAAAAACAGGAAAAAACAGAGCCTGGAGGGTAATTTGTTGCCTAAGGGAAGCCTTATGGAAAGACAGAAATGTGCTGGTGTACAAAACGTAAAAACATCCTGCTTCTATCAGTGATGCCAAAGGCTTTGTACTCTTTGAGGGACTAAATCCTGATCCATTGGAGGAAGTTTGGGGAGAGAGAGACTGAAAAGTTGGTATTATGGTCCAAGTATATTGCAATCAGTTTGTGATGTGTTAGAGTTATGTTTCAGCAGGTCACGTTGGAGACTATGTTTCCTGCCTTACGCAAGGAGTGTAGAATGTTTATGTTCTTTTTTTTTCTTGATGTTGTACAACTGTAAATTGTCAAATTTCAATAAACTTAATTAAAAAGTAAATGGTATCCTGAATTGCAGTGAGTTTAGATAGCAAAGGAGTGTTTAACTCCTGTGCTTTAACATCAACATAACATAAATATCATATAACATCTGTAACAATAAACATCAAAATCCAGCCAGCAGTCCTTAGTCCAGTTTAGGCTTGAAAAGAGACAAAATAACTATATTTTCTATATTTTGTTTATCTGGTCCTTTTACATGTTTCAGTCAAAGCAATGTTAAAAAGCCAGCTTACAATATTTTTTGTGACCAAAAATAGGATATTATGCACAGCATAACAGAACTACTACTACTACTACTACTACTACTACTAATAATAATAATAATAATAACAACAACAACAACAACAACAAAAATGTTAAATATAGTAATTCATTTTCCCCATATTAAGTTGGTCAGTGTAATAAAATTATTTGGGGTTTTGATTAAATAAATTGTTCAATATCTACCATAAATCAGGCATCTTTCTCAGTACTTGTGAAGCTGTTTTTTTTTAACAGATCCTTTTGGCTGTGCAGGAAAAGTTCATAACCCTATTATTTTTTACTCAGACTCTTTGTTTGGTGGTCTGGAATATGTTCTTATCATTGTTTCTTCATAGCCACTTAATCTCATTTATTCCATAGCTTAGTAAATGAAGGCAGTACTCAGGAAACACTGTAGATGATTAAATAAATGTTCAAGAGGAAAAAAACAAAAATGATGAATTGCTTTAATTATGTGCAATCATCACAACTCAAATTCATCCTGCGGCTTCTTGTTCCATTTGGTCACCTGCCAGACCAATAATCAAATTTAATTGAACGTTGTCCATAACTCCAATTTCCACCATGTTTAATCAAAAAATGAACAAGCACACACCTGATTAGCATAAAGTCAAATATATAAATATATCTAGATCTTCACACAAAACACATTTTGAAAGCTCTTTAATTTATTTCAAGGCTTTGTAAAGAAGTGAATAAGAGATTTGAACAATCCAACAGCTTTCAAAAAGAAATTGTACAGTGTTCCTCAGTTTGAACTAAATATTATTAAATTGAGTATGTAACAGTCTTCACATATGTGTCTTCTTTTAATCTCCTGTTAATCTGAACTAATCATCATATTACATGGTATGTGACTAATGTGCTATTCTTAGCAAATGTACTTCAACTGTGGCTTTAAACCAAGGAATTCGTGGTAAGTTGATGACAGCCATTTTTAAATAGAAAGTATATCATTTTTGACTTTCCATTAGTTTGTAATCAATCAATATTTTGGTATTAATGAAAGGATAAAAGGAAAAGGATAAAGTGAAACTGCCAAAAAATGATTTCTGTTAGAAGATTCAGATTTGTTCTAATTAAGTTACTGCATAAGCAACAGTTTGTCTAAGCCCAGCTTTATCTACACAGATTTGAAATGACTCAATTTCACTCGTAGTTCACAGATACATTAAATTGGGAATTTATGATGTCTATCTTTGAAAGAATCTTATAATAATGTACCTTATTAATTAATGAAAATTCAAATAAACTGAGAGGTCTTTGTCTTAAGTTCATACATAGTAACAACAACAGTAATAATGTAACTTCTGAATTTCTCCTAAACAAATATGATTTATCACTTGCCAAAAATTGGCCTTGAGTATTGTGTGGGAATACAAAGAGCTGCCTCGGTATATTTTAAAACTATAATGAAAATGCAGTAAATGAAATACAGTAATATAATCCATACTTATGTGATCATGATCAGATTTTAAAGTGAGTTATTGGCTTTGTTAAGATACAATTTGTATATGAATGGCTTTGTGGTTAAAGAAGTTCCACAACATCTGCTAAACAAGCTGATAAAACACTGCATCAGCTGTTTTTAAAATCCCACAATGCAGGTAAAAAATCCTTATTTATATTCCATAATGGCAGTTTTAATTAGATATTGGTGAAAGTCATAAAGCTTAATAAGTATATGCTGATGTTTCCATGTTCTTGAACAGGCAGAACAAAGACTTTTTAGTCTCTTTGCAAAATAGGACAAAGGTGATAAATCAGTAGTGACAATTATTTACAATAATTTCTCCTCATAAAGTTGCAAGAAAACAATAGTCTTGCTATACTGTATGGTATTGGTATGTGTGTTTGTATGTTTAAACATGTTTTGCAATGTTTAATACACAACCAGTGGATTAATGGTTTGTGTAGATCTAGATCAGGTCTGGTTGAGACAAGGCCATCCATTATGCCTCAGCCCATTGCTGAAGGCAGCTTTATGTTTATCATTACAGACAGCTCTCAGTGGGTATGGAGCTCTGGCTCAGAACTAGGTTTTAAATTCACTGCAGCTGTGCTGTAAATGGAATCCTTAGTGATGTCTCAGGCAGCCAAGATCTGGCAGGACTGTTTCTCTTCTGAGAAGGAATTACACCTACTTAAAACTGGATTATCCAAGAGCTAAGAATAAGAGAATAGAGAATGTTTTTATTGTGAACAGAACACTTTTTAAAGAAGAAAACATTATTTTCAGCAATCCAAAATAGTAAAAAACAACATTCAAGCAATATTTTCTTCTGGAATGGTGACGTATTACTTTTTCCACACATCTGCAACACTACCCAAAAAGTCACATGTACTGTAAAATTCTGAAATCCTTACACAACACACTTACCTCAGTAGGTCTCAATGCAAACACTGAAAGAAATGTTCTTGGAAATATGTATTTAAAAGAAGAAAACTTCAAAGCACACTATGCTGTGAGTAAGTAAATAAGCCTTGGCAGATTCAAATATACATTATATCTCCAAGGAAAAGTATGTCCATTGTGGGTTTACCCCATTTTTCAGCAGGGTGATGAGTCTTTCCCTATTCACATGGTAACCATTGGTTATATTTACAGAGGAGTCGCTTTCTATATGCACCCTATACTGTGCTACTAATTTAAGCTAATGTATTTATTTAAGGTGAAGCCTTTATTTCATGTTATAATATTATAAATGTGGCTGGAATATGTATATTGTTATAGAATAGGTCAGGTAATTGAGCATATCCTGGCATGTTATTTTAGTAACGGGAATCTGCTATGCACTTTCTGCTAGGACAACAATTAGAGATCCATTTGCAGGATGGGTACAGTACATAGACTACCTGATAACATCCTAATCAATCACTAACGATGAAGTTTTACCTTAAAAAGTTAGCACCCATCTAATTTCATTGGTGAACTCATTGCTTATATTTCAGATACGACCCTACCTGCATACCCGATTCCGCCTAGCCCTACTGGACTCGTTCACTACCCGACCTGCAGAGGGTTCATCACACCACTCATGACAATTAACATCTGCAACAGTGTTGTTTCTGCTCATACCAACTGTAGCAGTGCCCATTGAGCTTAGGTCCGACCAGCTGCCCAAGTTTGGTCCTCAACCCTTGCCATTCCTCTTGTTTTAGATCTTAAAGTAATTTGTTTAAAGCACTGGTGGATCCATTTTGGCCTGAAATCGGGACCTAACCATTAGTCTAACCATAGTTAGAAAATCTGGTACAGCAACCGTTGGCATGTTTTTAAGTTACTTTTATTAATTTAACAGACTAGTAACAGTCACTCTGATTAACATTTAAAATGTCTCTCTCATGATGTCACTGTTCTAACTCCCTGGGAGTACAGTAGATGTAGTTTTCTTTTATAAAGAAAAAAATCTGCTCACTACAAGTGACGCTTATTTCTCTAACCACCTTGTGCAGTATGCTCACTTATAATTTCCTTTGCTTCTGGAGTGCTTACTCACTCCAGTCTGAGCCAAGTCCATCACTCCAGATTTGCTCTGCTCAGTCAGATAAAAAAAAATGAAAATCCACTGCCTTACAATTGGAGCTGCCTCTATATTTTGTCTTCGTTTTGTGGAAACTTCTCCGGCAGGATTTCTTAAACCCACAAACCTACTGGCGTTCATAGCACCTGAACTCTTTACTTAAATGAATCACTGCTTGACTCAGCAACTTGTTTGCTTAGAACTTTTGCAAGTTTTTTTTTCTACTCAGATGTTGGAAATGTTAATTTACCTAAGAAACATAGTAGTTAAAAAACAATATGGTCTGTGGGTCCCCAGGACCAACATTGAGAACCCCCGCATTTGGAACTCTGGACATTTTTACAAGCCTTGCTTAAAGACTTATCTGTTTACTAAAGTTTTTTAATATATAATTTTATTTGACTATTTAGCCAGTTAACTGTGTGGTTTTTTAACGTCCGTTTTATGTTACTTGTTTAATTGTTTTGAAAAGCACTTGCAAATAAAAAGTATCATTAGCATAAAAACAAACAGAATTGTCTAACAACTTGTCTGTAAAATGCAATCTTTGCCAAAGAGAAAATCAAAGTTAACAAGCCATAATAACGTTATAATTCTAAAGATTGTACAGTGCTGGAGGAAGCAATTTGTTAAGAACAAAATCCACCTGTCAGGGAATCAACTGGGGATGTAATATGTTTCTTTTAAATGTTAACCCTAATAATTTCATAAATTGAAGCAGCTGAAGATGATTCTTTTTAGTTTATTTTTATCTTACACTCTGATCAGGACAATGAGTATGCACTGGATTAAATCTATGTAATATCATATTTCATTTTATTTTCTAAATACACCTACTCAGAATTTTCACACATGGCAAACATGGGACTGGTTTATCTCCCAGGCATATATACTTCAAAGAGGTTCTTGCTGAGCTGGCTAGAGTAGTATGTCAAGTATTTGTTCCATTTCACTAATTAGTTCAAACAGAAGTACTTGTTTATGACAATTACAGTGGCAGTTGTGAAAAAGACAGTATAACAAATAAAGCTCAATAATCCCCTTACATTATACAGCTGCCAAAGGCTTTTAACAAGCCCATTAACAAGCAATATTCATGTCTGTTTACTGATGCTGTTAAATCATGAATCTGTCTTGCTACCTGAGGCAGTTGCTTAATAGAGATCTTTCATAGAAGACTTTGCCTCTATTAAAATAGACATAAAATAGAATAATTTAAAATATGTCAGCTGAAGTCAGAGTGAAACACCAAAACAAATGTTTTCAAATCTTAAAATTACAGCCTGGTCAAAAGCAATAAAGCTTATACCATGGTGCCTCTAAATATAAATATGTATACATAATGCATATTTTAAAGGTGCTACAGGATACATTGTCTGTACAGAATCTCATTTTTATGACTGTTCTCATTTTATCATTTTTTATCAACTGGATTATATTCCTTCTTTCTCTCCCTAGAGTAAGGAGTCTGAATCACTAAGAAAAAATAGATGACAGAAGTCATGTTCTCTGCTTTTCATATTTATATATTAACTGTAGGAATACATATATATTTAGAAATTCAATGATTTGCTAGTGAGTGTTAAATTGGGCAAGTATCCATATTTATGAGTTCTCTTAGCAATTTTTAAACCAGCTGGTGTTAAAGTGTCAAGAAGCTGCCAGTAAAAATCTTACTGGTGGCCTTAAAAACAATCTGTAGTACTGCTGTGTGATTTATTTTTAACCTCACAGAGATGCAGAGTTAATCCATTTTTAATTAGCAATTCTAGGTCAAGTTTGGAGTTCAAGCTATTTTATCACTAACACACCCCCATGACAATGTCATTCTTCAAACCATGCTCTCAATTTTTCAGACTTTTAGAAGGAGCAAATTAAACAGAGCACATTAAAATCTGGGACAGTGACTCTATGACTCTAGACATATTAAAATAACTAAATAAAAAATATAAATATTTCAAGAAAAAGATGGAGTTTTCAAGATCAAAATTAGTCCAAGCAATAAGGCCTTAAAGATTAGTTCATTATTTAATTGAAATACATATTGCACAGCTTTGTGGGTCGTGTCTTTTCACCTTTACATGTATATGTTAGACAGTCTGTCAAAGCCAAATCCTGGTAGCTCAGGAGATTAACTTTAAAAGCAGATTGTAAATCAGAAGTCACAATAGGCATACTTGCAACTGTAAAAAAAAGTTTTTTTCATTGCACTACACAAACAAATGCATATAAACTCATAAAATAACATACAGCATTTTAATTGAGTAGTTAAGAGATGTGTTGCCGTTTTTCTGGCACTTTTCAAAGGAACAATGTTTTGCTAAAATGTTAAACAATGACTGACAATATATAGCATCCAAGTTTGACATTGGATCCAAACGTTTCCATAATGCATTAGCAGTCTCCATAGAAACCAAAAAATAATCTTAACATTTTATTTTTATTTCTGAACTAAAAAAGGATAGATTAGTGGGAAATTTATCTATTACTGTCATTACTAGCATAAATGTTTAGAGCATTTTTATTCTGTCAGGAGACCAGGATTTGTAAAAAACAACTCTTCAGCTAATTTGACAATATGTAACAAAGCACTTACAGTAAACAGGAGGCAACCTTTTGTGTGAATAAATGCTTAATGAGACATGAAGAAAACAAATTACCATTTTATCCCAATTTACTTTGGGAACTAGAAGGCAAATGAAGGAGAAAGAAGAACTATAGTTTATAATGTAGGACTATTCTTAAAAGTGTTGAGCTCCATTTGCACAGTAAGCATGTTTTGTTGAAGCAATAACATAAAAGAACAGCTTTTAAAATCCCTCATGGTAGATTCATTTTATTGATCAAAGAGGTTACTTTGCCACAAGAATAATACTGTTGATGGGGACCTAATTTTGGAATTCATTTTTATATGAAAGCGTTCTGTTTAGTGTGCTTTACTGTAAACTTACATATGCAAGTCATCTATTTGTCTAGTTAACCATATATATATGAGGATTTTTTGGAGACCCACACATATTTTGTGGAGCCTCTTAAGGATCATGTTAGGTAAATTAATGCAAATAAGAACACAATCCTTGAACAGTAAAGGGTTTGTACTGCAGCTGTATGATATTGTAAATACATTTCACTTTTAATTATCATATTGATATGGTTATCAACATTAATACATGGTGTTTTAGTCTCACATTAATAAAGGTTAAATGTTGATAAATTGCAGGCTTTCATCAATTAACTAAAAGACAGATGGGGTGGCTTACTGGAAATGAAGAAGAAAAATATATGTGCAAAAGGATTTGTTAGGGCTGATGGAGGAATTGAGCATTAAATGATGAACAAAAATGATTTGACCTGACTGATTGGTCTTGCTTTCCACATTTTACCACAAAACTTTGGAAGCACAAAAAAATATCTTCAACCTTTTTGCTCTTGCTCTCCTACAAGCACAAGCTTTTACTCTTATTGCTCACTGCAATTATGCTGTAATCACCATCTTACAGGGCATTTTCATTTCCCATCTCCTCCTTAAGAAATTAATATGCCTCAACGGAGTATTTAATTCAGAATTCACGCTGCCTATATACCAGGTTATCAAACAAGAATGCCAATTCTCACTGTCAGTTCCAAATATTCTAGACCTTGAATCTGGTTCTATGTACTGTAAGTCAAGGGCGTATGTGAATTCCCCCTGTTCAAAATCCATGCTTCCATTCTATTCTCCATCATTCCCAGCACTCTTCACTGCCAATTAACCTCAATTGCCTCCTGTATAAACAGTGCCCTGTTGAGACAGTGAAGTCAAAATGTTTTTTTTTTTTTGCTGCATACTCAAGCAACTTTAAAATGAAAATATGAAAATGAGCCAAAAATACAGAATGTCAACTTTTATTTCTGGATATTTATGTATTTACATTTACTGTTTAATATTCTTAGGATTTGTTGTGTTCAATCCCCCATTTCAGGTGAGCATAAGTATTGGGATCATTGGATGCCAGCTGTTTCTTATTGATCAGGTATTTCCTGTTGCATTGATTGTGTATACATATACATTTGGTGTCTATCGTTTGAGTCAGTAAATCATTAAGACTAGAGAACTGTCTATGAAAGAACAGCAAGAGATTTGGCTGCTGAAAGAAGAATTCAAACATAACCTTAACACAGAAACTGGGAATAGCAAAATTAACCATTTGCAATATCTTAAAAAAGAAAGAAACCACAGGCGTACTTAGCAATTGGCAATAACCAATTCATCTGAGGAAAACTGCTGCAGCCAATGATAGAAAAAGTGAAGAACCATGAAGAAAAAATATAAAATAACTTCCTGAAATCACCAACAGCCTCCACAGTGCAAGTGTGAAGGTATCACAATATATTAATAATAATAATAATTGCTTACACTTATATAGCGTTTTTCTGGACACTCCACTCAAAGCGCTTTACAGGTAATGGGGACTCCCCTCCACCACCACCAATGTGCAGCATCCACCTGGAAGATGCAAAGGCAGCCCACCACACATCAGCTATCAGTGGGGAGGAGAGCAGAGTAATGTAGCCAATTCATAGATATTGTTTGCAGCAGGTCTACACCGTAAGATGCAAACATCTCATCAGCCGATCAGACTAAAATTTGCTAACAAGTGTAGCAGCAATACTCAGAAATAAAAGGTGACATTCTGTATTTTTTCCTAAAAAAGGTCAAATGTTAGCATGCATCTCCTAACATCTTTGACTTTGATGAGGGTGTGAAAAGATGGATGTAACCAGGGAGATTGCAAGTGATGTACAGATCCTGACATTCAGAATGTATGGCAAATAATGCAGTAGAATGTGGTATACATACCGTACTGCACCTTTAAAAAAACAAAAATCGGTTTCAGGATTGCACTACTTTGTAAAACCACTAGGTGGCGTAGTGAATGCTTAATGTGGCACATGAAAGCATTTGGGCTGTCACCCAAAAGGGCCAGGTTTCGAAACCCATTCAATGCTGAGCCCCATAGGGACAATCTTTTCGAACTATAGAATTGAAGTTGTACACTGTTTACACTCTTATTCTTTCTTTAGCTTTTGCACTGAATGCCGAGCCAGAAAGCAGCATCATCATCAGCTAGGTGTAAAACTGACAGTCCACTATTGAAGCGCACCTTTTTACAGTATCGTGTCCCCGTCACTATACTGGGGCATTAGGACCCACATAGACCACAGGGTGAGCACCCCCTGCTGGCCCCACTAATTTATTTCACTCCTCAATGGTCTGTTTTCTTTGTCTTCCAGTGTTCAGCAGAAACACTCCGATCTTTTGATGATCAAAGAAAATG